TGACACCAGACTGACAGTCATGTCTTTGCTTGCTGCCTTCCCACATCATCAGGCAGCCAAGTCTCTCCAGTATTTGAGGAAGAGGCAGTGGCCTGCATTGAGCTGAACAAGTTTCCATTTCATCTGCTTGTCTTCAAATCTTGGAGGCTTTCTTGAGCTCACAATGGCTTTGACATGGGAAAGTTGGACTTTTTTGAAACGTAAACGCGTGACTGTAAAGCTTTTCTTTTTTAAAAGCAACAGCAGCTAAGTATAAACTCACACTACCTACAGAAGTTGGGGGATAAAAATACGTATGTCAACTGCTGCCCTGCTTTTCTTCGAAGCACAATAAGCTGTATTATTCCCAAATGGACAGCTTACCCATTTGATCCAACCATACTGATTTCACTGAAGAAACGGAGGACAAGGTGGACAGAGAGGAATGCAGCTGAAGCTATCTGGTAATTAGATTTCTTATGTCTACTTTTGGGGCAGTTTGCAGCAGTGAGTTTAGGCCAGAAAGTGGTATTTTTTGCAAATGCACAGGGGAGTAACATGTAGAAAAGTGCAAAAGAAGGAACTCCAATGGTTGGAGCAAGAAGAATGTTGCTGTCCTGTGTGTCCTTCTGCTTCTTCATCATGGTCTTCCCATCTTCTTCTCCTATTGTTCTTTCCCTTGCCTTGCCTTGTTTTCCCTTCCCTGTTCTCTTGACCTCTCCTCTCCTCTCCTCTCCTCTCCTCTCCTCTCCTCTCCTCTCCTCTCCTCTCCTCTCCTCTCCTCTCCTCTCCTCTCCTCTCTTCTCCTCTCCTCCCCTCCCTTCTCCCCTCTCCTCCCTTCTCCCCTCTCCTCCCTTCTCCCCTCCCCTCTCCTCTCCTCTTTCCTCCATTTCTCAGGTTTAGCACTTTACATTTTTTTTCTTCTCCCCACAGGGCTGCTGCATGTCTGTGTCTCTAGCAGAGCACATGAGCCATTCTGCAGATGTGCATGCCAGCCAAGTGCTCCGTTAGGAACAGCCTTCACCACATTGTGCTGCAAAATTTCATCTCCCTTTCTGCCCCATAACCAGCAGAGAGGTGGGCAGCTGTTAGCTAAATAATCTGAATAAGAGAGCTGTTTGTTTTCCTACTTTCAGTCATTAAAGTGCTTTTTCTGTCTTGCAAATCACAGCACAGTTCAACCACCACATTTGAAAATATGACCAGTTTTTAATGTCTAACTGTTAGATTACTTGTGGGAGTAACTTTCTGGGGTGGAAGATCCCTTCCCCTGAGGGAAGATCATCATCACAGAAATAATTTCATTAAGTTGTAAAGATTAAAAATGTGCCCCCAATTTCTTTGATCTAGAGTGCAGGAAAGGGGTTCGTAATTATTGTCTCAGTATCAGCGAGTTAGGCTTTTGTTACACACAGAATCATCACAGAATAGTTTGTTTTGGAAGGGACCTTAAAGCTCATCCAGTTCCAACCCCCTGCCACGGGCAGGGACACCTTCCACTAGACCAGGTTGCTCCAAGCCCCATCCAGCCTGGCCCTGAACACTGCCAGAGATGGGGCAGCCACAGCTTCTCTGGGCAACCTGTGCCAGGGCCTCACCACCCTCACAGGGAAAAACTTCCTTGTATCAGTCTGAATGTCCCCTCTTTTACATGACGATGCAGTATTAACACCAGATGTGGTTCCGTTCTGTGTGATATTCACCTTGTGTGAAAGCTTCCTGCACATCTCCCCCGACTCCAGTGAGTGAGTCCTGCGGGACGTGAGTTGGGGTAGAGCCGGCGGAGGTGGATCTGACGGGCATGGGCATGGGGCGGCTGGCTCCATGGGTGGGTGAGGACTGTGCCGAGCCTGCTGCTTGCGCCTGCACAGGAGACACGAGACACAGTTTCCAAATTTTCAACTTTTTTTTTTTTTTTTTGGTGAATATCTAAAAATAATTCTGAAAAAAAAAAGGAAAAGAAATGCATAAGGAAAGACGCTTCACCAAAACATGCTCAGCTTGAGCAACGTGATACATGAACAGTAGCTGTTGTGGGAGGACCCCATGATGGTGGCATGCTGGGCACAGTGTGTCACGCATTGGCTACACATGGCACTCACAGCTCTGCTGCTCTGGTGCAGGATTTCACCCAGTCTTCCTTGCCATATGATTACTGTGTCACTGGTCAACTGTCAAGTTGGAAAAAATCCTGGGATGGCACTGGGTGACCTTTTCATTCCTGTGCTCCAGAGGGACCCATCATCGCTTGGCATCTCCTCATCCTTCCCACAGGCAGCAGTGAGGAAACCCCCAGAGCTCCATGGTATCACCGAGGCTCTGCAGAAGGTCCATTCCCTTTGTTACTTTATTTTCATATATTTTATAGATTCTTATTTATTACTAAAATAGTGATTTTTAAATTTTTGATTTTACATTTTCTTCCCACTAAACCTACCCGTCTCTGCAGTGCTGCTCCAAGAGCCTTGTGAGCAGCTTGTGCTGTTGCCTTCCTTCATAAGGCTTCTTGTGCTCCCCTGCAGCTCTCCATGGATGGCAAGTGACAGCCCCAAGGGTCTCTCAGGTACTGCCTACTTACCCAAAGTCTGGTGCACTTCATAGCAAATCGCAACTAAATTAAGAATATTTTTTCCCTGCAGTTTGAATGCTCAGAGAAAACTGTTGTAATCATTCAGGCACAACTCCCACTGGCTTCAAAGAAGATGATGTCCCAGTGAAGCTTCCAGAGCACAACCTGAGGTTTGACATGGGAAGGATGAGCAGGGAAAGGAGAGGGACTGATGGATGTATGAGGAGATAAATACAGGAGCCTACTGACATGCACTTACTGGCTCCATGTTTTCAAAGAAATAATATCAGTTAAGTACTTGGCATGTGGTGTCAGCAGGAGAGTGAGCAAGGAGGCACTCACCACTGAGGCACCTCGCTGGGTGTTTAAGGACCTTTGCAGAGAGCTTGGTGCCTCATCTGCCTCCTCTGGCTGTTCATGCACAGCCAGGATGGACCCCTTGCGCTGGGAACCTCTCCAGCACTCACCTCACTGCCCAGGAGCAATGCATCACCCTTCCCCAAGCGTTGGCCATTATTTACAAGTGCTTTGAATGCACACAGTACTACTTTAGTGTTGATAATCTGGTTGTTCTCTGCAGCCACTCGTGTCTGTCAACAATCTCTGAGCCCTCTTGCTCAACTGCAAAGCTATTAGTGATCAGTTTTGTCTGGCTTTGCCAGCAAGGGTTTATGATCTGTGACTGTGTTTATGTTTAAGCACGGTCCCTATGCTGCCGTTGATTAAAGGAGAGCTACTCATAAATAATTACACGCTAAGGGCATTAAAACCGTACAACCCCTCTGAGCAAATACCTGGTTTGTTTGTGCCGTGTGGTTTTCGTCTTTTTTTAAGCCTGTTCATTGTTTGCTCCCTTTGACGTGCATCAGTTATAGGGGCAACTCAGCTGGCGCAGCAGCGATGCACAACGCTGACTCTGACAGCACCCCGTGTGATGGTGACTAGGCCAGCAAACTGCAATGATGACACTGCCAGCACCCGTGCAATGGTGACACCTCCAGCACCCTGTGTAACTGTGAGGGGGCCAGCACCCAGTGCAATGGTGACACAGCCACCACCCTGCTCAATGGTGGCACCGACAACACTCAATGCAATGGTGACACTGCCAGTACCCTGCGCAAGGGTTACACTGCCAACATCCTGCGCAATGGTGACATCACCAGCACCCTGTGTAATGGTGACACCGCCAGCACCTTGGGTAATGGTGATGCTGCCAGTACCCAATGCACGGTGACATCACCCGCACCCTGTGCAATGATGACACTGCCAGCATCCTGCACAATTGATCCTTGTGCTGCTGCTGCAAGGCACAGCATCTATCACCAGCACATCTTTCCCATCCTCACATTGAGTGCTGCCCTGCTGCAAGGCCCTGCTTCCCATGGGAGCACCAAGGAACAGGATGCTATTTGGGACCATGTGGGGATGGCTGCAGCTTCACTAATCCCTGCCAGCCCAGAGTTGATATTCTTATTAACATGAAAACCTAGTCATGTGTAAAATTGTCTTTTTGAAACTGCATTAATAATAGGGGGATTAAAAGAAGTGAGTAAAATGTGGCAGGGGTGTCTGTAGGGGGGAGGGCTGCAGGAGAGAAACGGCATATTTTGAAGGTACAATCATTAGAAAATGCACGTAACACACCAGCAACTTCACTTCCCTGAAACCTCAAATAAAACTTCAGGAAGTGACCTGAAAGTGCACAGAAATAGGCAGCAGTGTCTAAATTTGTATCAATTCGTAGCAAAAGCCTGACCATCGCTTTGTGCTCCCCATTCAGCACCTGAGACAGCATGGCAGAATTGTTCCCATGGCTTTGGCTTGGAGGAACTGGCTCATTCCCTCTCCTCCAGCCAGACTGAACTGAACCTCAGACTTGGCAGCTGTTCAGACAAGCAAAACCAGCCCATGCGTACCTTAAAACTGAAAACCAGGAGAAACCCATCGCTAACAAACACCCACATTGGAGGCAAGAGGACGGTGATCAAGAGCTCCCCTTTCCCCAGGAGGCAGCCAGAGGAGGGTGTGGGAATATTTTATGTTTTGAAGCTTGTTCCCCAGGTTGCACCTTGTACTGTGGGACCTGGGCACATGCTCCTGTTAATCACCAGAGACCTCCTGATGGTGGCAGGTGTGACAGGGATGACAAATGATAAACCACCTAGAGATTTTGTTATTTGTTAAAGCAAGTGTTCAGTTAATTGAGTAAGACCTCACCGCTCACTCCTCTCCCCAAAACACCTGAAATGTGAGGGGACACTTTTCACCCTGTACGACAAACCTGGTCCATCCCACCCATCTCCACGTCTGGCCCATGGTGTTTTCCACAGATGTGCACACTCCTTGGCCTAAGGAAAGACCCTGCACCCCACAACTGCCCACATGGATGGACTGGTGGTAAAAGCCAGGAGAGAAGCACACAAACATGGAGGCTTCAGCTCTTAGTGAGGAAATCTTTTTTCCACCATCATTCCCCACGGAGACATGCTGTCTACATTTACATTCTTAGAGTAAGTGCCCAAGCACCTGAAATGGATGTATTCTTTATTTTTTTGAAGCACGGGGCACACAGATGGGCCGTAATTTGCATGCTGCAGCCACTGAAGCAGAAGGGCTAGGAACATCCCTCACCCGCTCAATGGCGTAGTTCCTGGAAGCTAAGGTGATATTGAGAGCAGCTCGTGAGGTTACACACAGACAAGCCACCTCAATGGGGAGCAGTGCTGAGATGGATAGAGTTGGATGGAGAGTAATGTCTCCCTGCTGCCCGGTTCTCATGTACGCTCACACCACGCAATGCACACCACAGCACTTAGGAGCTGAAGGAGGATCTGAAAGTTTTTGGTTCAGTGAAGACTTGAAAATCATCTTCACAAGAAACATGCTTTGTCCCAGACTGCTGGTTGATAACGTGGCTGCAGCTCAGGACTGCAGGGCTGCAGGTTCCAGGCTGCAGGCGCTGCACTGGGACTCTGTTGCCCCCAGAGCATCACTCACTTCTGAACTGGAAGAGGAGTGAGAAAGCATCTGCTGGCCAACACAATACTCATCAAGGCACAAGAGCTAAACCTTCTGCCTTAGTGCAGCACCTTCTAAGGGACAGGCAGAAATGCTGCGGTCTGAGCTGAACCTGCATGTGTACCATGTGTGTCAGCTTGCAGGGCCTGTGACAAAGCCCTCCAGGTTTACATCTCTAGGAGGAAAGAAACAATCCAGTCTCTGTATGGGCAACTATTCACTATGAGGGTGGTCAGGCCCTGGCACAGGCTGCCCAGAGAAGCTGTGGCTGCCCCATCCCTGGCAGTGTTCAAGGCCAGGTTGGATGGGGCTTGGAGCAACCTGGTCTAGTGGAAGGTGCTCCTGCCCATGGCAGGAGGTTGGAACTGGATGAACTTTAAGGTCCCTTCCAACCCAAACCATCCTGTGATTCTATGATTCTGTGTTTTCTTGGTATATCTGAGTCCACAGTACTCATCAGATGGCCACATTTTTCATGAGCGGAAATGACACCCGGCCAGGTTTAGGATGGGGTGGGATGGTCTAAGATGGGGCAGGAGACCTGCATGAGTCTCTCTGGGCTGAATGAGGAACTGAGCAACTCAGGATGACGACTCCTTTCTGCTCATGGTAGAACCTGACCCAGGCTGAGCATCAACTGGGCTTTCCCAGGCCCATGCAGAAATCAGGCATTAAAGGCATGAAGAAAAGTAGAGACCATCACTGCACAACTTAAACTAGAGATGGATCGGGGATGGAATGGGCAGAAGCTTGGGGAAGAAAAGGAAGGAATATTGAGTCCAAAGCAAATATGTAACGATGCATTTACCAAATTACAAGTCAATAAATATCAGTTCAACCTCCGCAGCATCCTTAGGGTGTGTGTAGGGGGTGTTCGCTACTGACATACTTTGGGTAACAGTTTCTGAACACACTCTGCAGGTAACGCTGATGCAAAAGATATTACTGTATCCAGTGGCTGGATGTGCTCCCAGTGCGAGCATACACATAAACAACTACCTGGAGGAGAGGGAATAGGTGCTTTTCATGATCTGGGCTGTGTGCAGTTCTCTAGCACCTGGTGAGATCTGTTTTTCTCTAATTCTAGATGAAAAAAAAAAAAAAAAAAAAAAAAAAAGGCAAAACAACTCCCCCCCCATCCAGTCAAATAATATCAATCTATTTTATATATTGATCTCTCTTCTTGTACTTTACATTGAACATGAAGCCTTAACATGATTGTGTGTTTTCCCTCTGCACCAAATGATGAGTCTTGTGGAAAAATGATGCATGTGGAAAAATGAGGGGGTATGGTCTCTAGTAGTGGTGCAGATACATACAGAAAGCAGAAATAAGAAGGTATGAGCTGGCGTTCCATAACCGTTAGCATCGCTGTGCCACCCCTCGTGGCTCTCAGGCAGCGCGGTGGCTGTTGGACCCCAAATGCTTCTGCAGCCACTGAGAACTCAGCGGTTGACACAATGGAAGATGCTTGAGGGCAGCAGTACATGCCAAGGACACTGATGGTGACGATGCACTTCAACAACAGCTGGGCTCACCCTGCAGAGCATGAAACCAGTCCTAGAAAGCACTTTGTCTACTGAGAGCAAGACAGACACCTGGGGCAGAGAGAGAGGGAGCAGCACAGGGGCCCTGAATCTACGGCAGCCACCACACCACCCAGGGGTGCAACGGCACAGTGCTGGGGCCCAGTGTGGGGCAGAGGAAGCCGTGGGAGGACACGCGGGTGTATCCGCGCCTCTGCAGTTGTGGGAAGCGAACCGGGACAGCCCGGAGGCAGCACACAATGATTAACGGGTACGCTTAGGGATGGCTCCCAAGGCTGAACTAGAGGCCTTTCTGCGGGGCATCAATAAACCACTCTCCCAGCTTCCTTCTCACAAGGCTGAAGGCAAAGGGAGTGACAGAAGGAATGATGCAAGGTCCAGTAAATGTCGGAGCTGAGGCTATCCCTGTGGTTTTTGAGGATGCTGAAGTGAGCCTGCGCTGGGGCTGTTTCAAGTGTCTCCATTCCCAGCATAAGCAAGTGCTTCGACAGTTTTTGTTCCTTCTTCCCTGTGAGGGTGCTGAGGCCCTGGCACAGGTTGCCCAGAGAAGCTGTGGCTGCCCCATCCCTGGCAGTTCAAGGCCAGGTTGGATGGGGCTTGGAGCAACCTGGTCTAGTGGAAGGTGACCCTGCTCATAGCAGGGGGTTGGAACTGGATGAGCTTTAATGTCCCTTCCAACCCAAACCATTCTGTGGTTCATTCTATGATAAGAAGATGGTTCTACCAAGGAGCTGTGCATGGCTCTGCTCCTCCACGGCCACTGCTGCAGAGCTCACAGGACAGGAAACTCCAGGATATATTCTGTAAACAGAGCAGAGGCCTATTTGGAAAGGTCTGTAAACTCCTCTCTGACTGTTGGGGTTGCATCCGTAGAAAATCCTGGGAATTACTGGCTTGTTGCATGTTCTTCTTGGAAACTGCACCAAGTAGGACACAGAAGATGGATTTCAATTTAGAAAAACAATGAACGAAACCTCTGACCCAGCTCCTGAAATGTTTAGCAGCTGACTTTGATTTATTTGCCCCAGCTTATCAAGTCTTATATACAAGAGTTCTGAGGTTTAACCTAAAAAACCCTCTCAATATTTCCTCAAGAAAAGAGGCAAGGCTCTGGCCTGTGCGTTGAAACCACTTCAACAGAGGTACAAGAAGCAGTGACAGCGATAGCTTTTAGCTAGTACACAAAATGCTGTTGCACCATCACCTCCCTCATCCAGCAGTTTAACTAGGGGTCCCCCACCTCTCTGGTGACCTGCTCTCGAATTTTGTACAACCACCGTGACAGAGGAGAGTTTTAAAGGAGAACAGGATGAAAAAAGCACTGGAAAATTCAGGTCAGAAGGAGCTTCAGAGGGTGTCCACACCAACTTCCTCTTCTGAGCAAGGTCAACCCCAAAGTCTTGCTCAGGGTCTTCTTCAGATGATCTTTGAATATTCCTCCAAAAGGGAGATCCCACCACCACTCTGGGCTGCTCCTCAAGTGTTTAACCACTCTCATGGGAATTTCATTTCCAAATCCGGCCAGAACCCCCAGCCAATGTGTAACCATTACCTCTTGCTTTCTCCATGCAGCTCTGAGATGACTCTGGCTCTGCTTTCTCCTTGGTCACCCACTGGGAGACAGAAAATCACAGCTGAATTTCCCTTTTGCCTCCTCTTCTCCAGGCTGAACACAACCAGCTCATATGCCATCCTCTTCAGAGGATTTCACAGGACATCACCATGAGGAAAAGCTTCTTCATGGGGGGGTCACCAGAGAGATAAAGGACCTCCATCCTTAGAGGTTTTCAAGCTTGCCTACATGAAGCCAGAACTAGTTTGATCCAGTGGCAGCAGCAGTCCAGCTTAAGCAGAAAGTTGAGCTAAGACCCCCAGAAGGCTCTATATCTCTATGATCTACAGATGTTTACTGAGAAACTAGGAAATCTTGCTTTGCAAGAAATAGACATTGATTTGAATGCATTTTATTATCTAGCATATTCCTACAAATAGATTAAAATAAAAGGAATCTTGTATACATAAAAAAAAGAGGTAACAGTTTTTAGGTAAGTGATTTAGTCATGTGAACATCTCATCATGCCCCAGATAACTAACTCCAGTAAATACAGCAGAAACAGAACAAAAATGAGAATACGAACACATGGTCTACAACTCATTTTTCATTCTGCATCCTTGCTGTAGGAGATAAAGCAAGCCAGTGGATGTCAAACAACATCCAAGAAAAAGCAGGGGTCTTCATTAGAAAGTGAAATGGCAATGGGTTTTTCATCTGCATATCATGCACATTCAATGTCTAATTCACATTTAATGTGCTTTCCTTTGTCTTTACTTAAAAATGATGGAATGGCTCTTGAGCCCGGCTTCCTCACATCAAGTATCATGGGGCTTAAACTGAAGAGCTTTTATAATATTCACTTTAAATGAATATTCACTGGAAGCTCTTCTCCATGCTGCCAGGGCTTTTTCGGAAACAAAACCGCCTCTTCTCTTCTCGCCCAGGTGCTCTCCCCATGTTGAAGGTTGGCAGGGGCATACTGGGCTGGGTCCCCCAGACCTGACACTGCCCTTGTTTTTCTCAATGACTTGTTTCTTGTTCAGCCCCTTGGACCCTCTACATTTCCCATGTTTTTGAATAACATTGACACCACCCTCCTCAAACGGGCAGAGTAATCTCTGCTGACGTTATCATGTGTACTGTGACTACAGAATATTATGTAGAAAGGAAGAAAAAGATATGCCTTCTGCATATTTCACCAAAAAATCTGTCAAGTAGGAAATTAAGTTATTCTTCCCATGGATGCATAGGTCATCTGTCTAGCCTACATCATTCTGTGTTTAAAATTTCATGCATATACACAACCTGAAAGCCACAGTGCCCTAGCATTCCTTTGCTCATTCTGGGGTTGAGCCAACACACAGCTAATATTGAGGAGCCTGAGTATGAGCTTAGATGCTCATTGCACTGAGGTTAATTTTGTTTATAAATGCCTTGAAATATTGGGGAAATTTATGAGTCCTTAGGAATGCAAGTATTTTACTACACAGAGTATGATGGAGCACCACAGGCAGGTTGGGCAGACAGCAGCCCTCAGCCAACAGCCACTCTAATAAACCAACAAACCCAGAAGTTTTTAATGATGAGGAATGAACGACAGAAACATAGCGGATGTTGGACAAGCTGGTTTTGCTGAAACAGGCCTTGCCAAATAACACTTGATTTCCTTCCTTGAGAAGATTATGAGTGTTATTGACGAGTATAATTATGGAGAAATAATACCCTTCATAGGCATTTGATTTTGTAACGTGTGACTTTCTGATGAAGAAAGTGAGCAGTAGGCAGAAGCAGCGAAAGCACACTCTGCACAGAGTAAGAAAAAGATGACTGTCAATAAATGTGCCACCAAAGGGTAAGTCCCATTGAGGGTGATTTGGGTTTGGT